TTCTATTCTATTCTATTCTATTCTATTCTATTCTATTCTATTCTATTTAGTGACTGTTCGAAGTGACAGCGGCACTGAAAATAGTGGCCTGTTTTTCACCACTTTTCACCTTCCTGTGATCCTGTGATCGAAATTCAGACGCTTGGTGACTGATTGATATTTATGATGTTTGCAGGCTCCCAGGGTCACGTAATCCCCTTTTGTGACCTTCTGTTGTGGTTCGCCGACAGCAGATGTGGACGGCTAGGGTCTTGGAGAGCAAGGACTCAGATGAGGGGTTTGCGTTTGATGCAACAAAGTTTTTGCACTCAAGTCTTGTGGACATTCAGACTATCTTAGTTTGGAGACTTTTTGTGTTTGAAATATTTCTTGGCAACTTTTTCTAGTGTTCTTGGCAGCCTTGCACAACCTTGGCAAGGCTTATTCTTATCAGAGGCAATTAGTTTGAAACAGCCTTTTAACCGTGAAGGAACGGAATTTGTAAGGAATCATTAAAAGGTTTTGCTGTTACCTCCGTTTCATGTTTGTTTCCTTGGAACAAGATTTGGGTCAGAACACCAAAGCAAGAAGGAAGCAAGATTCACTTAACAACCACATGACTAACTTTACGACTGCAATGCTTTACAGTGGTGGCAAAGAAGGTTGCGCAATGGGGCAAAACTTAGCTGTCTCACTTAGCAACATAAAGTTTGTGCTTAATTGTGGTTGTAAGTCCAGGACTACCTGTGTAACTCTTACAGCCAGGCGTAGATGCTCCAAAACTTCAGTTTACCTCAGCCAAATTTTCTCACTTGGTATCTTTTATATACTTATATTCTTTCCCCAGCTTCATGCCTTCCAGGAAATTTGGAAAGCTCCCATCAGCCTCAGAAAGGATGACTAGCAGGCCAACATATCTGAAGGGCATTGGATTAATAGTAAGACAATTACTTTTAAACCTTTGCTGTTATTATAGCTGTTGTAACTCATGAGGAATAAAACCGAGCAATGCCCCAAACACAGCTTAGTAATGGTGGCCCTTGAGGGAAGTTAAATTCTCATATGAGGTGATGGGAACAACGGTGATATCTGAGCTCATTTTCAAGACAAACGTTTAAATTGTAGTCACTCACTATTCCGAAGAAAGCATTTTTTAAAATATATATATATGCTGCAGATTAAAGTCATAGGTGTGTAGGAGAAGAAGTGGTAGAACTTGGTGGTGGTGGAGTCAAAAGAGATATCAGCTTAGAATCTCTATGTAGCCACAAGTGAACCTTATCTATCTCTAACTGGGTATAGATGTTAGTTGAGGGGATTCCTGTGCATAGGCTTTTAGCAATAAATCAGTTTAATTTGAACCTTCATGCATTGACCTGGTCTTTCATGCTAATTTTGTCTAAAAGTTCATTCAGGGCTGTTGGGCAGGTTTTCATAAAAGCAGCAGAGAAACCAACAGTGGGAAGAATTTTATGCCTTCAGACTGCATCTAAATGAGTTTATCCCAAGTAACTGCTTTTGCCTCATTGGGAGAACTTTACAGGGTTAGGATATCAAATGTCTTCCATTAGTGCTGTATTTTTCTACCATTTACTCTGGTGTTGATGGCTGTTTTTACTACTAAAGGAAAGGAAATGACCTACCTAGTATCTGAAAAGGACAGAAGAGAAGAAGGAACAAGATATTCCTACACTTCAAAGCACCTTTTTAAATTGAACTAAAACAGGAGTAGTAGAAGCCCTGGGGTCCTTTCCTTTCCTTTCCTTTCCTTTCCTTTCCTTTCCTTTCCTTTC